TACCAAATGTTGTCGTCAAAACTCTAGTTCTTTCTTGGATATTGGAAAAACGACTCGCTCTTCTGGTTTAATTTGGACATGAACAATTTCAAGGCCTTGTAGCCGTCGTTCACGTCGTCTGTTTCGTACATTCGGGCCAATTTTTCGGTGCTTGAAACGTCGGCAATTCCACCAGGATGATTTTTGGTAGCTTCATCATGCGCCATCGTCGCGAAGCTGTGGCCAGTTGGGTCCACTTCAAACTTAAAGCTGGTTGTTTTCAGGGTCCTCTGGCCCTGTCGACCTCTTCTGCAAAAGAAGAGGACGATATGGAACCACACGCTACGGAGCAGAGAAAGTGGGCTGCTCAAGGCGAGAACTTGCGAGGATTTTAGCCGCAGCAAATCTTCGTATTCAATCGCAGGTTTGTGTTTTACATTTTCTTTTCCCTGACGCTTCAAGCTGACAACTGTCGCATTCAGCATTTCGTTTGACCTTTTAAGTCTTGGATCAGAAGTGAGCTTTAGGCCTTTGTTCAGTGTCGGTACATTCAGATATCTTTCAATGCCGTGACGAAAACCAAGTAGTGTAGATTTGCTGTACACATCTCCGGATTTATTTCTGGCCTCTGCGTAGAATCTGCGAAGGTTCGTTCTAGTTGGCCAGGCGACATTTGTTCTAGCGGTGTCTGTATTTTTTTCTCACTACACCAAGCTAAATTAAGGAAGAAAATAATGGTAATACCATTTAGTTTATAGACAATACGTGACTGCTGTTTTTAATCAACCATGTTACATTGTAGCTGTAATGTTTTTTGAAATGAAAGTTGCCCGAAAATGTTGGCGTCTCCGATTGTTTTCGGTAAGTTTTTTTTCTCCGATGGTTTTCGGTAAGTTTAACAAATGTAACAATAAAAAAAAGACGTCGTCAACAGAGACGTTTACCTTTAAAAGTTGCCACAGACCAATTTGTAGTCTTCTTAGTTCTTGCTGAATGTCTCTCAGCTAAAATTTTCTCCAGCTCCTATTCCGATAAATTCGGGAAACGGGCCTGTTGTGCTTCGTTCGTTTTCGTTGTGCTTGTTGGCTTGACTACTTACGGGAAGGTCAAAAGCCAAAGACAAGTTTGGTTGGTCTCCCATTTACTGATATCGCTTTCCGAAACTTTAACTAAAGGAACTCACACGACGGAAATTTTGTAGCTATTTTGAAACTGCACACGTCATTTTATTGAGCACGGCCGTGCGTACATAAAGATTTTGTTGATGATGGCGCAATAGGAATTAGATAGGACTACCGCGCGCGCTATGTTATAAGAAGCTTTTGTTCATGATTCTTGGAACAGTTTTTGCATTTGGTACCTGTCCAGGTCTTGTTAGAGAGAGTTAAAATGCTTTCCAACCGTATTTCGAAGAAAGGTGACTCACACAAGTACAACGACGCGGAAAAAACGGAGCTGTCTTCCTCTGGCAGTTCAAAGAAGGATTTACCCGACGACGAGGCTCTGGATGAAGTGAACAAACACATTACTAATGCATTCGGTATTTTAAGGCG